TCACTTCCGGTCGCTCATCCAACCACAGGACCTCGGCCGGTTTCGTACCTTCCGGCATCGGCACTACATCCACCACATCCGGCTTCTCCAGCTTGTTGCCCTTGTAAACGCACCATTCAATCACCTGGAGACGTGCTTCGCGGCCCTGTTCCGCTTCTCGCTCTGCAACCCCTGCCAACACAATGCTGTATATTCGCTGTCGCAAAGGTCGATAAATGAGGGCTGATGACGGCTGCTCCGAAGCATAGTCTTCCAGGGCACTGCTCGATTCCCAGGTACGCGGCGGGGCGAGAACCGAGTGCATGTAGGGGATAAGTGCACAATTTCTATGTTCCTTTTCCACTGCTTCCAAAAGGTCTTCCGTCGGGTGCTAAGAAACCATAAAAAAAAGAAGAAATTTCACTTGGAATCCCGCTTTCCCAAGAATAATTTCGAATCAATTTTCGAAATAGGCACTGTACAGAAGAAAAATCCATTTCGGTTTTCCTCATCAAATCTTGGATAAAATACTGAAGCGTATGCAGACGCCACATTAAAAGTTGAGGAGAAATGAGGCTTGAAAAAAAAAATGGTTTCGACCAAAGAAGAAAACTAGATCGTCCGTCGGCTTTCCGACGATAAAAAATTTTTGATTTTCGTGGCTCGACAAGCATAAAAAAATTTTTTTCTGAGATTTCTCGAAAGAACCTCAGCTCAATAATTCAGTTAGTGTACTGCAGTAAGAAATGAGAGGACGTTCTCGGAAGTCCGGCACGTCAATTGGAAAATCTTCTGCTTCAATCTGCGAAATGGAATATTTTCACAACTCATTCATTTCCAAAAGAAGCCAATTTTTTTTCAATTTCCTAGTGTGACAGTTATAGAGAAGTCCATTTTAATTATCTATGGACAAAAACAGGAAGCGGATTCTTGGATTTACGAACGTCGATAGTACACAATCTGAAAATCGAAAAATCAATAAAAAATCGAATTTCATATGACTCACCTTTAAACTCATCGAAGCAGCTTCGTCGACTAAAATCGGCGGTGGAGGAGCTTGAAACAAGGCGTAAGAATAGATACTTTGCTGGAACAAATTGCCTCGAGATGTGTCCCCGAAGACATTTTTCGAAATGGAATTCAACACGGACTGCGACAAAGAATAGGCAGAGCCTTCGAATGGTTTCATGAAGTGAATCACTTTCGGGACAATATCCTCAATCCTCGGTCTGCCGACAAACTTGGAATCTTTGCATATTTTCCGGTGAAACAGCAACAGGTCGTGGGAATGGATCACGTCATTGCCGAGTAAGGAAGCTAGGAGAGGCAACTGGTCGACCTGAACAACAAATCGGTACAATATCAGAACGGGTTTCGTATTTCAGGTCTGGTTTCTACTCCAAATAAAAAAAAAAAATGTATGAATTTGTCAGAAAATGTTATTCATTTAACTTCTTCTTCAATTTTCCGAAGAATCGGCGAATTTTAAAAATTTTCCGGTTCTCTTGATCCAAGAATTGGACCAAGGGAAAAATTTTAATGTAGACCTCGTTATTTCTTATAACTTAAAATTTCCAATATTTACATGAAAAATTAATGGCAAACCAGTTTTGATACAGGGACATCAGTGGAGATGCTCTTGAAATTTTATTTTTCGAGACACCTGTTTTTACCGAAACCTCAAGGAGAATATTGTATACATTACTGTTTATTGTACTCTGAAATCACGAAAGGGTGGGAATAGTAATTCGGCGATGAACTGGTGACAGATTTTTAATTCTCCATCATCCACGGCATGAAATCAGTAGGATGAAACAAACATCAGATTTGAAAGACAGGAAATTATTCGACAATCTTTTAAACTTATCCTACCAATCAAAATACAGCGTACAGTGCCAAGTATTGCTCTTAATACTACCAGAAAATATTTTTACAATTTCCCACGCACGGAAATCAGGCAACCCACAACTGTAATACCTCTGATATCATATGAAGCACTCCGACTTATTAAAAAAAAAATACATCAGTTTTTGTAAAAGGAGGAGCGCCATTGTTCAGATTCCGAGCATTTTCGTTCTCCCATCACGAATTAAATTCCCTTTCTCTTTACTTAAAACCAAATTTGTCTCCTGCAACGTCAACAGTGATAGGTGTCGTCCTGTCGCTTGAATCAATAATTCAGAGTCCACTAGCTGACAATAATTGAGAAAATGTGTGTCGAAGTGTCGAGCAATGCAGCCAAAAGAACCGAGAATTCTCAGACTCCGAACATAAATCTTCTCACCTTTAATCCGAGGGCCCATGCAAAGGCATCTCGGTCATAATTGACAGTTTCCAGAGTATCGACATTCAAATTCTGACTGGACAGGTAATACGGTGCAGAGTCAAACACGATATAGTCCGA